TTTCCAGTCTCTCCCTTTCTATACATACCTATATGTTGTTGTATGTTATTTATATCTTATGTTGTAATATAGAAATACATTTCAGAAATATGTGGAGTATTGTTTGCTTTGAAATTGATAACTCTGTAGATTTTATTCCAAACTTTTGGATGCACAAAGGAGTTTGTGCTTGGCCAAAGAAGATGGCTAATGTGCGTAACCACATAAAACATAACACTGACAATTGGACATTTCCCTTCGAAATCCATAGAATATTCGAGGTAATAATAACCAGACTGAGAATAGGACACACAAAAATCTCCCACAGTTTTCTAATGTCCAGGGAAGARCCTCCAATATGCACAACCTGCGGTGTTCAAGTAACCATTAAACACATCCTCACCGATTGCCGAACATATATTAGTACCCGTACAAGCTTCAACCTGCCCGAATCATCACTTTCAGAAATAGTAAACAACAATCCTCAATCCATTAACAACATCATACAATTCATCACAGCCGCCAATCTTCTAACCAAAATGTAATATAATTTAGATATAGATATAATTCATGTAATTTTTTTTATATATATTTCTCACTTTAAACCCAATGGCCCATGTGGCCGAGGGTATTATTCATTTAAAAAAAAAAAGTTTCCGATAACGGCGCTCAATTAACGTCTCACGAGTTTACCAAGTTTTTAAAAAGTGATGGCATAGTTCATTTGCGCAAAGCTCCGGGACACCCAGCTACAAACGGGGGGTTAAAAATGCAGTTAAGACAACCAAGCACGCCTTATCGGCAGCATTAGCAGATAACAAAAATAAAAATGTTTCGAAGTCAATTATATTAAATAAATTTCTATTAGGTTATAGAAATGCGCCACATTCTACTACGGGAGAATCACCGTCAGTTTTAATATTGGGTAGGAAACTACGTTGTAGACTAGATTTACTGTATAAATCGGATGAGGAAGTGGTGCATGAGAAGCAAGATAGGTCAATAAAAAATTATAACGGCAGCCAAAACAAATTTTTCAAGGAAGGTGACGAGGTAATGATTAAATATTACAAACCAGGGAATAAAGAATCTTGGATTATGGCTACAGTAAAGAAAATGTTAGGTATTAAAAAATATGAGTGTGTATTGAAGGATAATAAAATATACATTAGGCACGATTGATCAAATGATCGATGCGATAGGTAGTTGAAACGKAAACACAAGAACAGGATAGTGAAAATGAGGTAATTAATTCTAATGATAGAGAATATGAGAATAACTTTGCAACCTAATTAAAACAATTTACATGCTATAAATACAAATTTCAAAAATAAAATATAAATATGGATATTTTAACACATTATAATATCATTCTATACTGTACATGCTTTAAGCATACTATTTTAAATTGTGTATATCGTTATTACCTCCGTAAAAAATTTAAAAATGGTTAACAACTGTTCTGTGTTAACGTTAATGTAAAAGTCGAAAGCACATTAAAAAATACTCGATATTTCAAGCTCTGAAAAATAAAGATACTTCTGAAATATGGTCTAAAATTGTATCAAAAGTAAACCACAAACAAACTACTGTGAAATATTTGTGTGAACTCGAACTCCACTTTACTAATGAGTAATGACGATATTATAAGGAATTATTTTGGTAGTTGTAACAGGTATGCCAGTATTAAACAGAAGTAACTGTACCGTGTTACTGTTTGGTATTATATTATTTGAATAATTATAATAATTATTAATCCCAACCATTGTTTATTCTAATTTGTTTGGTAATTAAATAATATTAAATAAAT